AAAAAAAAAAAAAAAAAAAAAAAAAAGTGGCATCTGCCACAGGCCTATTGATTTGATATATGATTGCATGCATTTTTTATCAGTGGGCTCTGGATAAAACAAAATCTTGGGAATAGTCAAGGTTTTCAGTCAGCTAATAGGATAGCTTAAGTGAAAAGTAATATCTTAAATTACATATTCTGCATGTATTTTGATTTTATGCAGTTTTGATGATCAGTAAAAATTACTATCACCAGCTTACAGTCTGCATGAAATATGTTGGTTATATCTGTATGCTGGTTTTGGATGGGGTAGAGTTAATTTTCTTCATAGTAGCTAGTAAGGGGCTATGTTTTGGATTTGTGATGAGTTTGTGTGTGTAGCAGGGGTTTTTGTTAGTGGGGGAGGGCACTACAGTGGTGGCCCCCTGTGAGAAGCTTCTTGAAACTCCCCCAGCTCCAAGTCAGACCTGCCTCTGGCCAAAGCCAAGCCAATTAACGATGGTGGCCGTGCCTCTGTGACAACATATTTAAGTATTGGAATCTGGAAAGAGGTGGGGGAGTTGTGAGAAGTTACAAGGAGGACACCTAGACAAACACCAAGGTCAGCTGAAGAAAGGAGGAGTATCTGGGGAGGTGCCCCAGAGCAGAGACTCCTCTGTATCCTGTAGTTGTTACTAGAAAAGTGGATGGTGAGATGGCAGGTCTGCCCCCTTGCCACCCATGGAGGTCCACAGTGGAGCAGAAGCCCATGGAGGACCCTGTGCCAGAGAAGGTGGCTGCACCCAAAGAAGGCTGGGACTTTGTAGGAAGAAGACACTGCTGTTGTAATTTTGTGCTGGGAGGATTGCAACACATGGGAGGGACCCACAGAACCAGCTTGGGAAACGTTATGGCCCTTGGGAAGGACTCACATCAGAGAAAGTTCATGGATTACTGTCTCCCGTGAGAGGGACCCCATGCTGGAGCGGGGGAAGAATGTGACGAGTCCTCCCCTGAGGAGGAAAGAGTGGTGGACTGACTGTACCCCCATTCTCTGCCCCACTGTGCTGCTGGGAGGAAAGAAGGTAGAACAATCAGGAGAAAAGCTGAGCCCAGGAAGGAGGGAGTGGTGAGAGAAGGTGTTTTCAAGATGTGGTGATGCTTCTCACAGTCTTACTCTGTCTGTTAAGTGTTGTTAGAGTTTGAATTAAATTCATGTTTTCTTCTTCTAATGAGTCTGTATTTTGCTCTTGACTGTAATGGGTGAATCATCCTTCCCTATCCTTATTTAAGTCCTCCAGCCTTTTGTTTTATGTTTTCCTGTTCATTCCTGAGGGAGGAGGGGTGAGCGAGTGGGCTGCATGGTGCTCAGTTCCCCTCTGGGCTCAAACTACAACAACAGTGTTCTTTTTGTTATTGCTGAGCAGTGCTTAAACAGAGTCAAGGCCTTTTCTGCTTCTCACCCCACCCCACCAGAGAGTGGTATGGGGATATACAAGAAACTGGGAGGGAAAACAAGCTGGGACAGCTGACCCCAGCTGACCAAGGGGATATTCCATACCGTATGATGTCATGCTCAGACTCTAAATCTGGGGGAGGAAGAAGGAAGCAGGGGGACATTCAGAGTGATGGTGTTTTGTCCTCCCAAGTCACTGTTACATGTGATGGAGCTCTGCTTTCCTGGAGATGGCTGAACACCTGCCTGCCAAAGAGAAGTGGTGAATGAATTCCTTGTTTTGCTTTGCTTGGGCACGCAGCTTTTGCTTCGCCCATTAAACTGTCTTTATTTCAACCCACGAGTGTTCTCACTTTTACCCTTCCAATATTCTTCTCCATCCCACCAGGGGGTAGTGAGTGAGCAGCTGGGTGGTGCTAAATTGCCAGCTGGGGCTAAACCATGACAATCTATAACTTTTAAATGTTCAAATGTCCATTGTTCTATCAATCTACTGCTACAGCTATTGATCAAAGTCAGTAGCAGAAAAGTCATAAAGTAAATGTGATACTTTCAGACTAGAAATGAGAAGAGTTGTGGTGGGAAGGTTTCTGCCGGATCCCTACAGGAGATGAATCGAGAACTGTGATTTCTGGGATCCAGCCTAGCTAATTTCCTTAACCAGTCTACCAATTTCACTAATTTTACAGGTAATTATCTAGGACACTTCTAGAAGGAAACACTCTTAAGATAGAGATTTTACAAGGACTTTGATTTTTAAAAACCCCAAAGCATAATGTGTAGTTACACTGACAATAATCTTAATACTTCTCATAGATTTCAAACATGAACAAATAATTTCAAAATATTCCTTGTATTAAATGGAATCAAAGATTATCTTCAGATTCTGAAGTGGTCAAAATTTTTGGGAAAAAAAAAAAAAAAAGATGATTCAATGACCTTTTTATTGTACGCTGACACTGAAACTCTTCAAAAGATGCATTGTGAAAGATGAAAAGTTTTCCACAAAGATTTCCCTTTGTAACATGTTTAGCTAATTTGCTGAGAACGGTCAGTTTTCTTGTCCGCAGAAGGTCTATTCACCTCATAAGTCTAATTTTATATACACAAACACCTTGTTTATTTCAAATAAAGGAGAAAAAGGTAGAAAAAAGTTGGAAATACACTGCAAAATTACAGAAAAAGAGTGAAAACAGGGGTTTATGTCTTCCCCTTTTGTGAATACTTTTTTAATACTTTATTCTATCTTTACATTTTGTTAAAATACTACTGAATGATACAATACAATTGCTTTTCAATCACATTTCAGTTACTATTTCAGATTGTTCCCTATACATAAAACTTATAATTATTTCTTTTATACTTTTACTTGCAGCAGATTTTGTTAAAAATTGTAATGGCCTTTTCTAGTATGAAAGAACATTTGCATTTCATAGTTTGAGTAGTTCTGAGAATTTTCTTCACTTTACCAAATTATTTTTTCATGGTCCTGGATGGATAATCCAAAATTTTCAAATAACTGTTTTAAAGCATGTGACTACAAAAATCTGTTTAAGAAAAACAAACTTCTTACAATACAGGATAACTTCCTATGATTCTCTTAGTGTATATTTAAAATTAGTTACAAGAATTGAGGGCTATGTCAGGTTACTTTTTAGAAGATGCAGATCAAACCTTCTAGAAACATATTGACCATAATAAGAATGAAAGTAGTTAAATATTTTACTTTCTAGCTCACTTCTGAACATATCAAGAAGCTCTATTAAGCTACTAAAAATACAGATTTAATCATATTTTTAAACAGTTTAGTCTCAGCCAGGGGACTGTTGTTAGCTCTTTGCCAATAAAAAAAGCTAGACAAAAGTTTTCACTAAGATGTGTCCATGATATCCTTTATAGAGATAAATACAACATTATAGAAAATGCTTAAAATTTTAATGTAAAATAGATAAATATTGTGCTTTAAATATATGTCAATATTTTTATTTAACTGGAACTCTGGTTTTCAAAGCAACCTAGCAGTATTAGAATTATGAAAGGATAAGCTTTGAATTTACAAAATCCCTGTGATATCTGATCTAACCTGTACCTTCCTTTAACTGTAAACAACCTCATTAAAATATTGACATTTAGAGCATTTGGTAAAAAAAAAAACAAAACAAAAACCAAACACCAACCACCACACACACCAAAAAAAAAAAAAACAAAAAAAAAAAAAAAAAAACGAACAACCAAAACTGATGGAGAGGAAAGAATATCAGCTAAAGAGACAAATTGAGTGGGTTCATTTTAAAGGTCTTGCATACATGTTGTGATAAATAATTTAGTTCCAAACAGGACTTCAAACTAAGTTTCCAATTTATTAAGTGAATAGGGACAAGCAATCAGCGCTGTGGGCGCCTGGAGTCTCTGCTCTACCAGAACACACACCGTACAGTTTCTGGTTTTGGTATTTATCTCTTATGTTGTTACATATTCATGAAAAGTCGTATCTTCTTTAGCGCATGCCCTCTTCATCTCCTGGAGTCTTCTCGACTCTCACCCGATGGTCACTGGAGTATGCATGCGCTCGATCCAATTCATGACAGGAATCAGGTTGTTAACATACTATATAACATTCCTTAAATAACATTTGTAAGAAAAAGGCAAGAACTATTTACACATTGTCTTGTTCCCTTTAAGTTGGTGGCTATGTAAAGGCAAACAGGACACCCCCTGCCCCCCATCAGCCTGTGACCAGATAAGAGCAAATAGGATACTTAAGAATTCCATGTGTAGAGGGGGGTCACAGTTCATCACTCATCATACAATGCCCCACATTGACACGAATCAGATGAACACATTTAACACATGTTCTGACACTATTAGCTTCTTTTACAAATCATTGTGAAGAGTCAATAATGGAAAAGAAAATTTAGTTTCTCCTTGCTCAGGTGGTGTTTGCATTAAATTATTTTTAGCACAGAATAAAAAGGTACTTTGTGCCAAGCCACAAACACTAAACAAGGAAATTGCTGGAAAAATTTAAAAGGCAACATGAAATACAAAATCAAGGTCAATCTATTTAATCATGCCTAAGGGTTGAAAAGTCACCCTACAGGCTGAATGATTGTTTACAAATAGTTTTTGACAGGTAATTTCACTGAACACTCCACCCACATTTTAACTTTATGGGTCAAGTCCTAAATCCAATGAAATCAACTGGCAGTTTGCAGTTGATTAGCACAAGAATGTTTCATGTGCTTCTGAGAGCAGGGGAAAGTAAGCAGATTATGGGGCATTTTAAGATGTTGAGTATCACAGACAAACTGTGGGGATATCAGTTCTTTTTCCTGCTTGTTTGGCTCCAGCTGATGTGGAATGCAAAGTGGATTTGGGAACACTGCTTTAGACTGCCCACATGTAAATTAAATTTATAGACCAGAAGAAAACTTTTAAAAAATAATTTAAAGGCCACGGGAAACCTGTTGGATGTGTATCCATACAGCAGCTGCAATAAAACAACAAATATTGCAGGACAAAATGTATTTTTAAAAAATATCAGAGGAAAGCATCACATCCTCTGTCTTCTATTTCCTGGCCTCTGGGCTGTGTCATGTCTGCCTCCTCCTCACCTAGTTTCAAGGATGATTTGATGGACTTTCACGTTTCCAATTGTACCCTGTTACAGGGCAGTTGTGCTGAATTACATAGTGGTGGTAAGGAGGTATTGGTTTCTTTCTGCCACAAGGGAGACCTTTTTGCTCAACACCAGACACACCAGTCCTCACACTTCTGCTGCAGTATGCAAACCAGTAATTTAAATGTTTACAGATGTGTTGCTAGTACTTGCTGTCTCCTCTTCAGCTATGTAAAAACTAAGCCACAGGTTTTGGTCTGAAGTGCAGCTTTTATCTAGAAAATTTCAAAAGGAAAAAGATTAAAAAAAAAACGAATTAAAAGTCTAGAACTTTTCAAGAGGGAGAAAAATATTATGAATTTTTAAAAATTTTAATATTTTCTTTTAAGTCCTCTAACAATTAAACCTATTCTGCACTCGTAGCCCAATCAAAATTCTATTGGACTCTATATTTAGTGG